TGAAACCCGGGGCAGGGACCCCGCCCATGGGGCCCTTCTTGCGCACCAGGCCTCATTTCCAATGATGCCCCAGGCATTTCGGTTATTCTCTCACACACATGAGAGTGTGATTAGAGGTGCGTGACAGGACCAAAGCGAGCCCTTGCCTTTGTGACTTCACCCTCATGATCTCACCCTTTCCATGGACCTGATTCTCAGCCTTAAAGGTTCAAAAACTGGACTTCTTTGTTTTCAAAGAAGTGTGATGCTTCAGTGGAGGCTGAACTCAGTTGTAAGATTCCAGTGTTGCTGTGTGGCCCAGCACTAACTGATTGTTTGCAACTGGGATCATCTTCTCTTTTGGAATATGAGGGAACTCCAATAAATAAATACGTTTCTTCCCCTGTCAAGTTGAGAATCAACTGGCAGGTGCAGGAGAAAGACAGATGAGGATCAGCCTGCCACCTTTACTACCGAGGAACCAATTGAAGAGCAGAGCTGAACACATTCTGCAGCGGGAGGGAAGGGGGGAGGTGGGAAGTGTAGGGGGTGGGGAGGCAGAAGAGCACGGTCTACTCCTCCTCCCAGACTCACCAGCCAGATGAGCTGGGCCTCCTCTCCGGAGTGAGCACTGCAAGAAGGAGAGAGAGAATTCCCTGGTGGTCCTGGGACTGGGAGCATCAGGATCACCTGGGAACTTTTAGAAACGCAGAGTGTAGGGGCCACTCCCAGAAAAGTTGAATCAGACAAGGCAGGGAGCCCAGCAACCTGTGTTTTCCTAAGCTTGGTGGTGACGCAAATGCAGGCTCAGAGTTGAGAACCACTGGTCAAGCGGTAGCTGTTCCACATGGAAATATGAGACCTTGGAAGAAAAGTCCCCCTGGAATATTCTGCCACCCATGCCCGCCTTTCCCTCCAATTCTTGGGAAGATGAGTCATAGGGCGAGAAGTTCCCACATTTGATTGCTAGCTTACAGCTGCACCAGGAAATACCAGGGAGAGTCTCCTCTCCAAAAGGGAAGAATGCCTTGGGTTTGGTGTTTGCTAGCCATACCTCTTTCTCTCACAGACCTTGGAGGGACTAGCCTCCCCTTGCTGGCATTTGATAGTCTTGAAGACCCGAAAATGGAAGTCAGGATGGAAGCACATGGCGTTCGTGCTCCGGGGCTCCCCGCTGCACTCAGGTTTCCAGATAAACTCCCTGACGAGGCTGGCCCCTCTCCGGCCCCTTCTCATCAGCACCTCACACGTCCAGTCACTCTGGCCTCCCTTCTGTCCCTTCAATATGCCAAGCTTGCTCCTGCCTCAGGACCTTTGCACTTGCTGTCCTGCTGCTTGAAGTACCCTTTTCTCAGCCCCTGACATGCCTGGCTCCTTGTCCTCTAAATCCAAACCCAAATGTCATCTTCCCTGACCACCCATTGAAGGCACCCTCAACCCCACTTATCACTGTCTAGCTCATTGCCCTGGTTTATTTTCTTCAGAATACCTGACACTCTCCAAAAATGACCTGGTGTGTTTATTTTGTTGACTTATTTTTTTGTCGCTTCCTCGCCAGAATGTAAGAGATCAGAGACCTTGCTGTATCCGTAGCATCAAAACAGTTCCTGGTATATTGCAGGCCTAAGATTTCCATAAATATTTGTTGAATAAATGAATAGATGAATGAATTAAGGAACCCAGGAAAAGGCTGTAGGTGAGAAGGATCAGAGCGGAGTGATTTAGGCCAAAGCCTCTGCTTCCCTCCCCCGACGAGCAGGGGCGCTCGGGCCCGACCGACCGAGCAGGTCTGCAATGCTGGCACCACACCAGGTTTTCCACCTGCCTCTCCCGTCCCCCGGTATCTTAAGCCTAGGCTCCCCCTTCCTCTCCCCCTCCTTCCCTGCCTCCCCCTTCACTGTCATTACATTACAGTCATTAGAAGCCAGCAGATTCGCACCCTCCTGTCGGCTTTTTCATAAAGAAATATTAATGGAGTTATTTTTCAGCAGGGGCTCTGAAAACTGTTGTCAAAACTCTGACTTGGCCACCCACATCCACATAATTAATCACACAGGAAACCAGAAAGGGGCGGCATCGGGGCTGGGGCCCAGCTGTGTGGGGGCCCTCTTCCCAGGGAGGAGTGCGGGCAACACACAGCCGCTGCCCGCCAAGAGGCCACGGGTCAGGTTGGAAACAAGACGACCTAACTAGAACCACCTCCAAGTAATCCAAGTCAGGGTTGAATTCGGACCGGGGCGGCAGGCGGCAGGGTTGGGAAGCAGGTGCGGAGGCTGCCTCCAACTTCAAGCATTTGGTAAAAAAGGAAAGGCAATTAAACAGGTAGGACAGAGTCTGCAGGGGAGAAATATAGTTAAAGATAGTCTTTTCTAGAAATAGAAGGAAGCTGGCATTTATTGAGTATTGTATTAGTTATCTGTAGCTGGGCAACAGATGACCCAAAACTTACAGCTTCAAACAACACCCGTTATCTCACTGTTTCTGAGGGGTCAGGGCTCCAGTGACAGCTCATCTGGGTCCATTGCTTGAGGTCCCACAAGGCTGACGTCACGGCATCAGCCCGGGCTAAGTCCTCACCTGGAGCTCTGCTGAGAAAAGGCCTGCTTCCCCACTTAGGTGGCAGCTGCAGTACTCAGTTCTTTGTCGTTGTAGAACTCAGACATTCTGCTTTTAACTGACAGCTGGTCTGAGGCCACCCTCAGCTCCGAGAGACCTCCCACAGTTCCTTTCTATGTGGCTTCCCCAGCTTGGCCACTTAACTGGTCAAGCCAACAAGGAGAATCTCTAGAGCAAATCGGTCGGCAAGATGGAGTTTTATATATCATCACATAATCAGAGAAGTCACATCCCATCATCCTTGCCTTACTCTATCGGTCAGAAGCAACTCACAGATTCTACCCACATTTAATGGGAGGGGATCCTACAGTGAGGGGGTGGGGAGTGAAGGAACCATGGGACGGCCGCCCTAGAGTGTCTCCCACAGTCCCTATTATGTGTTAAGAGCTATGGCAAATACTTTTGCATGTGTTACATCATTTAATTACTCAAACAATCTGTAAGGCAGGCATCACCACCCTCATTGCATAGACAAGAAACCCGACACACAGGAATGAGAACTTGTCCAGGTCCTGTGAAAGATAAGATGGGAACAACTTGTATCATGGTACCAAAGTAACCTGTGCAAGCTCAGGGTCTGAAGGGTCAGCATCTTTATAATGAGGAACAGGGCCTGAGGGAGGCAGGGGAAGGGGAGAGGGTTATAGCTCTCATGAGATCAGGATGAAAAGGTGTGGGTTACACCTTAAGAAAGAAAACTGGGAACACTTACGTCTGATGATCTCTGTTTTCTCAATGAAGCAGAAAATGAGGGCATCTCCTGAGAGGGTAAGGGTTAGGCTAGAGGGAAGCAGAGCCAAGTTGAAACAGCGGCTGTGGGGAATTGGGACGGAAACCTTGCCAGCCTGACAACAGGTTACCAAGTAGCACAGAGCTACTTCCTCCGGAAAGACTTAAGTAGTTGCCTTGGTGGGTGGTACCCATCCCGCCCCCACCATTGTGTATAGTCTTCACTTTCCTCATCCTGCCTTTCAGGGCAGTGGTTCATGCCCACATCCACCGTTCTCTTCAGAAGGAAAGTTCTCGCCAGGCAGGAAACTAACAGGAGCCCCTGTCAGACTTCCTGGCACCCGGCACAGTCTGGCACATGGGAGTCCTCCATAATCCAGGGAGTCCTGCCTGATTCTAGACCTGAATTTGTAAGTGACTCCACCATAGTACCTGTCATCTTCTAAAGGCTCACCTAGTTTTAAAAGGTTTTTTAAAAATAGTATTTTTACTTTTGAAAGTAAAAGTGCATTTCAAACAGCAGAGTACAAAGTTTAAGTCTATCATGGAATGAGGGTAAGAGGTGGAACTAGGGAGGCGTCACATGCATAATCTGGTGACAAAAGAAAAAAGGAGTCTGTTTGATGTCAAGAAGTCAAGAGTCATTTCCAATTGTTCTATGTGAATCTATGTTGATTGGTATGTAACGCTGCCCACAGTATATTGTGCCTGAAAACTAGTTACAGTGCAGACAGACACAGAATAATCACACTGGTATAGTTTCCAGTTTTGACTCTTCTAAGTGGCAGAAAACTTAACTCAAACCTTCTTAGCCAAAACCTGAAACGTGCAGACCCATCTTCAGTGAAAAGTTCAAGCACATGCTCTGATGCCAAAGGGACTAACGTTTTGGCCCAAGAATGAGCCACACAGCTGCCATCAGCCCCCAGGGCTGCATGGGCTCTAGGAACCCTTGCGTAAGTCCTGAGTTCCACTCTGGTTGGACCAGCTTGAGTCACAAGCTCTTCACCAAACCAATCACTGAGGCAAGGGGACGCCATAGCATCAGACCTGCGTTGGGGTCGAGTCAGGGCGCTGTGAGCAAGAGGAAAAGGAACGGATACCAGGTGGTGAGAAAGGCAACAAAGCTTTGTGTGCTGTGCCTCCATCCCCAGAGAAATGACTGCGTGGGTGCCCACCGAAATGTCCACGGGGTTTTCTCCAACTTCTAGGACTTGGGGCGGAGCCCGGCAAGGTGCTCCTCTGCTAGTCGGGAGCACCGCTGGAGTCGCACTCCGGAGGGCCCACCTGCACTCCAGGTTCCTGACCTCCTTGGTAAGGGTGGCGGGACAAGTGTTCATATACCTGGCCTTGAGTATGACCATGGCCCTGCACAAAGCCTTCCAACCTGGATAACCACCTGGAACTGGTTGCTCCTGCCTTCATGGCTCCTAGCTTCTTTACACCTGGAGACTGCCACCCCAGCCACCCAAACCAAGCCTTGTAGCTACTGACCACACGCAACCCTTTGGAGTCAGTTCCCCCTTCTCTCCAAGCCACCCCTTCCCGAGGATCATTTTCCGAACCTCCATCTCAACTCCACCAAGCCACTCACTTCCCCAAAGCAGCAGCAATGGCCACTCTAACACCACACATGAGCCCTGGGACAGGCAGTACATTTGAGTGGCCTTTTATTTCTAATTGGATCCACCAGCTGTGGCTGACTCAGTTTGCCCACACCCTCTGCGCTGCTTCCTCGCCAACCCTCGGAGATTCTTCCTGGCCTTGCACTGTGCGCGGTAGGCTTTCAGCTCCTCTTGGTACTTGGCTCTCAGGAGAGCTGCTCGTTGTTCATACGGCTGCTTCTCCACGTCAGCTTTTGCAGCCCACATCTTCCCCGAGGCCTTTGCCACCTGCACCACCGACCAGGTCGGATTCTCCCTCTTCAGCTGGGCATAGTGGTCTTTGCAGAAGAGTAGGAAGGATGATGGAGGCCGCCTGGGTGCCTGGGGGTCCCGCTTTCTCCGTTTCTTCTTCTTCTTGCCAACATAATTCATCATCTCTTCCTGGTAACGGGCTTTGTCGAGCTTGGCCAGGGCTTCGTATTTGGACTTCTCGTGCTTTGAGATAGACCTCCATTTTTCTGAACACTTTCTAGAGAACTCTTTAAAGCCAAGAAAGGTATTTGGCTGCTGCTCCTTAAACTTGTTTCTGTAATTCAGTAAAAAGTGGATGTAAGAAGAGACATTAACCTTGGGCCTGATTTGGATTTCTTTTGCCATGTTCATGAGGTCATTTTTTTTTTTTTCTGGATCCAGTAACTTGGACAGCAGAGACTTTTGTCCCCACACTCCAGGAGCAATCTAGAAGGTGCTCTGCTTGCGGTGAATTTTTCGCTCTGTAAGAGCTGCAATCAAGGGTCAGCCTTTTCAGTGGCAGTGACATTATTGGGTCAGAGGAGGAGATTGTGACATCACTCACAAAGCTGGCCACTCCTGGTATTTGCATACTGGTACATTGGTTGGCTACTTGGTGGCCAGCTTGTGCTTCTCATGAAAGATGGAGGTTCTTCTGGAGAAAGCTGTGGAGCAGCTACTTTGCCGGGAATATTTCTCCTTGGTTTCCAGTAGGCAGTGGGCTTTTCTCAACTACAGGAGCTTTCGGTTTCTCAGATGCAGTAACAAACCTCGGGGTCTGCCTTCCAAAGACAGCCTGGAAGTGACGAACGCGTGGAGGTGGAAGGCTCCTGAGCCACCGTGATCAAATGGGAAGTCTTTCTGTTCTCCTTGAATGGTGGCAGCTCGCACTGTAAAAAGAGTTTAGTAGTAACTCTAAAAATAATCAGGTGTGACAGCTGGGATTCCGTTCCTGCCAGGACAAAGTTGTCTGATTTAAAACCCGAGCACTTGGATTGTAAGTCCAAAGTCTTCATTTCTCTGAAGGAATTTTGGGGGGAGGGGAGAAGGAGGGAAAATCTTGAGATTCTCCTAATGGCACTTGAGTCCTTGAAAAGGAAATCTAATCCTTAGTTTACGAGGGGGCCTCATCTCAGTGGTCCCCATTTCTTGGGGTTAGAGACAAGGGTCTAACATCTACACTCCAAAAAGGTAGCTTCTGACCTGTAAAAGCATTTGCAAATATCCCACCAGTTTTCCAACTGGAAGAAAAAGAAAAGACAGAGTGTCCTTTATCGACCTTTGGACACTGGGGCGCTTGTATGGTAAAGGAGTTAATACAAGTTATCATAGCTCCAAATTTGCAGGACTAGGAAATCGAGCCTCATTAACATAAAAATTCACCTGTTCAATATAAAACGGCCACTAAGTGGATTTGGACTCCTTTGCCCGACTCAAGACTCTGCTTCCTCCAGAGAGTCCAGCTATATGGCCTCAGCAGCTGAGCTTGACAGAGAAACCTGCCCAAGACTAGAGCACGTTTAGAATGTTGGCCCAGTCCATTCCCAAGGCCCCAAGCTTGACATCAACTTCCATCTTGTGTGAGACGGAAACTCATTTAGAGTTCCAGTCCCAAATTCTAGCCCCAGTCCTGCCGAGAGGGGGCAGGCTACCTAAGCCAGCCCCTTTCTTGCCATGAGCCTGTGATTTCTCATCTATAAAATCAGTGCTGTGGACTGGCCAGGAAAGACCCTCCAGGTGACATGCTGCAGTTCTGTGTCTGGATCTGGGGGCCTGTGAGACACCAGATGCCCGCCAAAGGAGGCCTAGGCTTAGTGGAGAGCGGGGAGGGGCCTGGCCAGTGAGGACGAATTACTCTGAGGACATTCATCAGCCCAGGTAGCTTTTCTTATGCTGGTTCTTCCTCCCAAGGGGCCAGAGGTTAGCTCACCTGTGTGTTAGGCCTGAGCTGGGCTGCAAAGATGAATGGGTCTCAGCTTCTTCCTGAGAAAGAAGGAGGGGCTGCGAGGAGGAATTTGGCTAACCGTCTCTGCCTATTAATCAGACCCTGCTCAGACTCCCAGAAAAATCCAGCAGCTTATCTAGGCCTCTGTTCTGTGCCTCTGTTCATGACCTTCCCCCCTCTCACAAGGATAAGATCCAGGAAGATTAACCCCATGATAACCATGTAGAACCCAGCAGATCTAAGAAGAGAAAGTGGTAGGAGGTAGTAAAAGGTGAGAGCTACGGCAGCCCTTTTTTGTTCAGGCCACCTTGCTAACGTGGAGGGATGAAGCAGCGGAGTTCTTTGTCTGACGCTGCAGGAGGGTAAAGAACACCTGGCTTTCTGAAACAGTGCTGTGTGTGCTGATATCCGAGGTGTGCCCGCCACGCCCCCCACCCCAGGCCCCTTTCCAACCCTGCTCTCTGCCCATACGCTGATCCATGTGGACCACCTCAGTGGATCCTGTGTCCTCTGACTTCCATTTGTTTGGCCAGCGGGAACCCCAACAGGAGATGAGGAAGGGAGGAAGGTGAGAGCAAGGCATTTATTCTCCTGGCTCCCTCCCCACAAGCTCACCCGGAGCTGGCTCTCTGGACGGAAAGCCTCGGCTTCTTCTTAAACCATCCTCTCTAAAGGACTAGCTCCTTCCTGTTCAGCAGTTGCTCCCACTGCTTGCCCGCTCCTGCAAGGGTGGTAAGAGCTCTGCTGTTACTAACCTCGGAGGACTCTGGTCTCCCTTGTGTCTTTCCCACACCTTGTCCTTCCCTTTGTAAATAGCCTCTTTATTAAACACTCGTTGAATTCATCTAATTTAAGTGGCCATCTGTTTTCTGCTGGGACCCTGATCAACGTGCCATGTTTCTAGCCTTCCGCTCTGAACAGCCGTGGAGGTGGAGAGACAAAGTGTGGGTGTGAGTCCAAGCTAGGTAGGAGGGTATTGAGCTTCTAGATACCCAAGAGCTGGGCAGTCACACCGCCTGGGGTGGTCTGCGTGGGCAGGAGGGCAGTGGCAGGACAAGGCCAGAGGGCCCAGGAAGTGTCTAACATCCTCTGCACTATGAGATGACCTGTAGGCAGCGGCATTGCTTCCAAGAGCCAGATAAAAACTATTCAGGTTTTGCAGGCTGCACAGTTGCAGTTGCAAGTACCCAACCCTGCCACGATAGCTCAGAAGTAGCCATAGATAATACGGAACAGATGAGCGTGACAGCGTCCCAATAAAGCTTTGCAAAAATAGACAATGTGCGGTAGTTCATAGATCTGCCAACCCCATCCAGAGAGGGGAGTTCTGTATTTTCAGGCTTTCGATTGCAGTCTACAATGGGAAATACCTTTTACATCATGACCCATTTAGGCACATGCGTGCTGCATCATAATATTTCCATAATGTTCAATTTATGTCAGCCTCTGTTCTAAGTATGTTACCTATATCAATTGATTTAGTCTTCCTAAGAGCCCTGGGTATAGGGATGGGGTGCTATTTTTCCTCCCATTGTAAAGATAAAGGTCTCTCAGCACAGAGAGCTTACAGAAACAAAAGTTTTTCGAAACCCCCATTCTCTTTTCTATTCTATTCTGTTGTAGTCTCCTCTACTTTATTTTGTCATTTAAAATAACAGCCCACAGACTGATCTCATGGATTAATTTGAAAAACACTGTCTAGACAAGCTGGAAGGGAGCTCCCCTTTACTTGGTGATAAAATGAAATGAAAAGCAGAACATGGCCTTTGGAGCCAGACAGACATGAGTTCAAATTCTAGCTTCACCCCTTACTAGCTGGGTAACCTTGGGCAGGTCTATCTGATTATGACCTAATCTGTACAAAGCAGTGAACTGATGATAAAAGTGAGGATTAACTAATTGAAGTGATGGGAATAAAAGCCCCTGACACTCCCCCTCCCCCTGCAGTGTAGGCTGGATCAGGGAGGGACTTGCTGCTAATGACTAGAGTATGAAGAAAGACAGATTGTATCTTTACAGTGGAGAAGCCAAAGCAATCAAAGTCAACATAAGTGATAAGCCATGTTAACATCACATCTTCCCTTTCTATGATGTCATTAACAAGAACATCTCACCTCGGTGGTATTCTTCCCCCAAATCCATAAACCCTGGTCTAAGCATGAGAAAATAATAGACAAATCCAAGTTAAGGGACATTCTAGAAAACACTTGACCCATGTAAAGTGTCAAGGTCTTGAGAAAACAAGGAAAGCCTGAGATACAGACACAGATTAGCGGAGACTAAGCAGACATGGTAACTAAAGGTAATAAGAAATGCTGGAATGGATCCTGAAACAAACAAACAAACAGACAGACAGACAAAAAGGTGGGGGGAGTTAATGGAAAAGCTGGGGAAATCTGAACAAACTCTTCCATAGAGGTAATAGCACTGTACCAATGTTGATATCTTAGTTTTGCTACGTATGTCCTGGTTCCATAAGATGCTAATATTAAGGGAAGCTGGGTGAGAGTTATTCAGGAAATTTCTGTACTATCTTTGCAACTCTATTCTCATTTCAAAATCGTAAGACTTTTTAAAAATCTCCCCAGCCGGCAGTACTGTGCACTGAGAGTGAGACTGCCTTCTCTTAACTCTTCTCCTTCAGGGTGCACAGGGCAGATTTTACCCTCAACTGCAGTACCATTTGCTCTGGGTATCTCTTCTGTCACAGTGCTTCTCGAGCTTGGAGGCATGCTGGACTGCCTGAGAAGCTTTTAAAAATCCCAGTGCTCAAGCTGGAGCAACAACAAGAGCAAAGTTCCTGGCCCAGGCATGTAATAAAAGCTTCAAAGCTTCCTCCCTCCCCTCCTGCTCCTCCTGTGGGGTGGGAATCAATGGCTGCACGTGCCCTCTGAGCAAGGGGTCTGTGTGAGGGAGAACAATGACTCCACACGGACATCCACATCCTGGACCCTGGAGTCAGTGGGTATGTTACCTTCCACAGCAGAAGGAACTTGCAGACATGATTATGTTAAAGATTTTGAGATGGGAAGATTATCCTGGATTATCCAGGTGGGCCTGATGTAATCTCAGGGGTCCTTGTAAGAAGAAACAGGACTATCAGAGTTAAAGATGGAGATGTGATGACCGATGCAGAGGGTCAGAGTCTGAAAGAGATTTGAAGGTGTTGCACTGCTGGCTTTGAGGACGAAAAGACCACAAGCCATGAAATGAGGCTGCCACTGGAAGCTGGGACAGGCAAGCAAATGGATTCCCCCTACAGCCTCCAGAGGAAGTGCAACCCTGCTGACACTTTGACCTTGGCCTAATGATACTCATTTTGGACTTCTACCCCCCAGAATTGTTAAGATAATAAATCTGTATTGTGCCGTGGCTGGTGTGGCTCAGTAGACTGAGTGCCAGCCTATGATCCAAAGGACTGCCAGTA